AACAGCAGGCTCTTTCTCTGGAAATGCCTATCACCTATGTGAATTGGACACAATTTCCATCAAAGCCACAGGGCATCTCTCCACTGACTTCAGTGGAATCAAGGCCCGTATGTTGAATAAGCAATAAATTATTTTCCCTTAGACAAAAGTTTTTCATGTCTATAATTCATTTAAATGACTAGAACAGGGGAGGGACTAAGCAGAGGTAAAGTTGAAAGAAAAGCCAGGATCATGCAGTGCAATGAGGACAGCAATCCTGCAAGGCATCTTTGTGATGAAGAAAGAGATTGAGAGGATAGTTACTTGTAAAAGGAGATCAGCTCCTGTCACACCTTCCACCTCACATCCAAAACCCCTGAAAACACAGGCACACCACCCACCCCCTGCCACAGCCAGCAGCCTCTTTGATACAACATTGTGGGTATCTCTCTCACTTTCATCTTCTGAAAGTTGGCTCTGTTCTAGTTAACATCTCAACCCATACCAGGGATTCCCTGCATCTCACAGACATCTCAGAAGCTGTTTCTTTCTCTTCATTTTCTTCCAGTGTCAACACAACTTTTTAGATGCATCATAGTACTGCATTTTTGTAGGCTTTCAAGTCACTCTTTCCTTTTAGATGCCTGCTAATTCACCCATAAATTTATGGCTACAAATATCACTATTTTTTGCACTTCTATCTGGCTTCATTCACAATACAAATACAAAACACCAAAGTTGAGGAGAAATCCTTTTGCTTCAAGGTAGCCCAATTCCTTTCCACATTTCTTTTCAAGCATGCAATGACAGGATTAGCTAAGGATTAATTACTTGAAACTCAACCTGCATCTCACGTCACAATTTTCTCATATTTTCAACATTTAAAATCTTTGTATCAAGCAAATATTTGTCATACAAACCAAAATTTGCAACAGATAAAATATACTTCTTTCCACACAGATGTCCTAGCTGGGGGTCTCAAAATCCAAACAAAAATTCCACTTACTGTGCAAACTTCAATCCTCCCACCTGAAGTTGCAGTGCTTTCCAAAAATGTCACCTTTAAAGGCACAAAACCAGAATTTTCCAAAAAAGCAGTTTTCTCTGCCTTCTTTCTTCATTTGTCCCTTAAAGGCAACAGCCCTTCTGATAAAATACATTTACTCACTGGAAGGTAACCTAACAAGTCAATGTGATTTGATTTTTTTCTTAAATTTTTCCATATGAATAGTCATGGGTTGTATTAAAATACATCTGTGCCTAAATATTGACTTGGGACTGACTGTAAATTTTGTTTAGCAGCACGGCAGGACTAGCCTAGTCTGGCTACATTTCATAGTAGCCAACTGTTGGAAGAATGTCTTTTTCAGTATTAAGGGTCACCGGAATAATCAAAGCATGTAAGATCAGTCCTCAAGGTATCTCCTGCCACTGCTAGCAGAAACATGTTATTCACCATGGTAATTACAAATGTTGCAAAATAAAGATGTTTACAATTTTACTGTGATTTAAATCATAAAAGCAAAGAATAAAACTGCCTCAAAGTCCTTTTTTTCGGTGACTTGAGACCTCCAATCAACAGGAAACATTCAAATTCATGGGCTAGATGTAAGAATTTTCTATTTATTTATTCCTTTATTTTCTTTAGAGATATTTCCTTGGATGGTTTGCTCCTGTTGTAGCAGCAAAACAAAACAAAATCAAAAAACCTCCTCTGCCATTAAATTTTGCTTTTTCCAAAATTTAATCCTGGGCCAAGTATGATCTGCCAGTAACCCTCTGAAAATATTCTCAAGTAATTCTCTGCAAACAGATTAGGTTATCTATAACAAACTGGTGGTTAAAAACAACCATTACTGTAATTTTATACTGTACCTAGTCTGATCTGCATCCTATAAAAAGGAGCAAAACCAACTGCATCACCTGCAGGGCACATCTTAGTCACAATTCTGAGAATTTAAAAAAAAAAAGCAGCAAACCATGTTGAACATAGGAAAGTAAATTATACATTAAAGACATCAAAAGAAAGAAAGTATTAAAAGCAAGTGTTCGAGCATGTTCAAACAAAACACAGTTACTGCATTAGGCACTGTATAAAACCAAGCTATGCCAAATTCCCAGTGTTCCACTTCTGAGCTCACTATTAAAATAAAAAACCACTGAGGAAGGTGTATGCTTCTTCATGGAAATGTTTATGAATTTAAAAAAACCAAACACACAGTGGTATTGAGGCAAGGTTCAGCAGGGCAAAAACTTCCCTGAGAGACACTTCTGGTTGCATGAGGGATGTGGGTCACTGGTAGCATGTGCATTTTTGCACTTTCACAAAAGAGAAATAGGATCTTGACACCACATGGAAGGTGGCCTCTGTGTTGAAATTTTATTGAACATGAATGACAGACTTGCAAAAACCTTCTTACATCTGTATGGATACAGCAGTTCAAAACTCATAATATACAGACAGCACTTATATGCTCAGAATTATGTACCTTTTCCTCATCTTAACTTAGACCACTTACATGAATTACCTCAATAACAACTTTCCTATAAACAGATACAGAAGAGCTAGGTGCTGCTTTTTAGCTCAAACAACTGCTTTGAGTTTTTTGGGTTTTTTTTGTAGCAGTGTTAAACAATCAGCTTGCCTGCTGTGACTGCCTATGGATCACATATCCAACATATGCAGTTTGGAAGCAGATCACCAGGAATCTCATCTATCCCATTCACGTTAGCTTGTTCATCCTTTCTCTGCCCAGGTCAGGGAGCAGCCATCAAACACAGACAATAATAAAGTTCTCTTTTTCTCTTTACAAAGATTAGCAAATAGATTTGTTTCTTAACTAATTTTAAAAAACAGAACTATCTGACAAGTCACAAGTTATCTACCTGTGCAATAGGTGGGGACAGGGACACTGTGCTGTACTACAACACTGTCGATTTCACCACAAGAAAACCAGTTTGTCCATCCAGAAGACAAAGCCAACAAACTGCTGCATCTACCACAGAGCTGCCAAACTCCCTGCATGCCACCAGCACCTGACACCCACCACAAAAACACAGGGCTTGCTCCACCTGAATGCAATCCTCAGGCTTGCTTTGGCACCACCCCCCTGGACAAAATTTCCTCCACCTTCCTAGCTTAGCTTTCCCCCACCCCTCCAGCAGGCCCCATGGACACTGCTGCCACAGGGGAGCTGCTGGAAACTACCAGTTTAGAAAGAAAACACTCATGCCATCTGAAGGCAGATGCCCCAAGGCTAGACCAAACTTGGTGTGGGGTGGTTCTCCAGCAAGAAGTCTCTCTCAACATTGAGATGATGATTACCAAAGAGCTCAGTATTATCAGTGCCAGAGCACACCAACTGGAATGTGATTACTGCCACTGCTCTAGTATCACCAAAAATCCTGTATCTGTGGTGAGGATTTAGTCCTGTTATGGCCACAGTTGCTGGCTCTCCTCATGGGAATTCCAGCACAGGCTTCCTAAAAGGACAGTGCCTCCTTACAAGCCTGGTGGTCGTCAGTTTTACCAGTATAATTCATGGCTGAGTGAATTTTCCTGTCTTCATTAAGGGTTTACACCAGTGCTGCTACCTTGGAAGTCTGCCATCAATAAGCAGGTCAAACCTCTTAGTCTGGGAAAAGCCTCTCCATTGTCTTCTGTCTCATGAACAGTTCTTCAGTAACTATGTATTTTTTTGGAGACCAGGGTGTTGGAAAACAATTGAGATACGAGTAAAGCGCTCTCCTTCACCACAAAGTAAACTGTATGCTTAATAAGATGAAATAATTTGGTCTCTGAGGACCAGAAAACAATAGCCTCAGTGTTGCACTGATACCTTTCAAGTTATGTCCTCGTGTCACCCAAAGCAAACTGTAATAGGGACTGCTCCACAGCTCAGATTCCATTTAAACCCCTTAGCTAACCTCTTTTACCTCTTCAGGTTTCCCTCTTTAGCCCAGTCATTTCAGGAAACCTCATTTTCTTAAAAAAAAAAAAAAAAGGCAGCAAAAAAAGTGCTAACTTTTCCAAGGCCATACTCAAATCCCCTATGTTTCTTATAAACATCCCTAATTTTTATTCTTTATGCCAGGAGCTGAGATGCATAATGAAGTAAATAATATCAACAACTGTGACTGACTTTGAAGGGCACAACAGCAAGTAGAGCTTTGCCCTCTCCCCCCAGAGCAGGATGAGAATCTACTAATTACTTTATTACAGTGTGGGTGGAAGAATGAGGGAACTTCAAATCAGCACAGCATTCAATGCAGTATTTCCTTTATAGTGAAGAACAAAAAATAACCCCAGACCTAGAATAAATCTCCCTACCCAATTCCTCCTTTTGTTTACACCAGGTCTGAGGTTACTTACACAGCAGCACAATGCTAGAGATTCCACACACATCTCTACACCTTAGGGCATGTGCCCACCTTTAGTTGTCTAGCTCTGGGGAGAAACTTTTCCTAGAGGCAAGCTATTATGTAATGCTCAGGATGAGCAGTTTCTCACATCCTCCTTTGATCTGTTAAATAAAAGCCACCACAAGAAAAAAAATGCTAAGCACTATATTATTTTATTTTCCTGCCACAGTTCTACACTTATTGTCTCTCATTTTTAGAGATCTTTTTATCATTACTGATGCCAACAAACAGCCATCAGAAGCAGACAAATAAACCATGTAAGGCACAATTAAATATTCAACATGTTCTCCTTCAAGACAAGAAAATAATAACAAAACAACTGAAACCTGAGCCTCTTTCCAGCTACACTAAATTATGCCACTGAAATCAAATGCTTATTAACGGTTTTATTTACCCTCTGATACTCAAAGACACAGATTATTCCATTTCTGAAAAATCTACCACCATCACTGTGCTGCCGCAACAGCTAGCGATTAGCAAAATAATAAAGGAAAATACAATTCAGACATCAGAGAAAGGAAGATTCCTCCGTGGAGAGGCCCTTCCATGGGGAACAACCTCAGGGGCTACAACCTACTGTGAGCCCAGATCACTCTTACCTGTGTGACTGAGCATGTGCCGCTGCAGGGCACTCGGCCATGGAAAGACTTGAGGACAGTAAGGACAGGGAATATTTTGCAGGCAGTCTGAGTAAGCGTTCCTCTTCCCTCTCAGCAGCTTATCCTTGGCAGTTTCCTTCTCATCCTCACTTGTTCCATTTCTGCCACTTTCTTCCTTGAAATTGTCAGTGGACTGCAGAAATGGGCTAAATTTGTTAGTGTCTGTGGTAGCCAGCATCTTCTCTATGCTAGCAAATTCCCCACTTGACTCCAGATCCACACTACTGATAAGTTTGGGCTTATTTTTCGTTCCTTTCTTTCTACCTCTTTTCTTAGTCAACCCAGCATCAGCAACAGGAGACTGCTCTAGATCACAAGCCTGAGAAAGGTCACTGGGCAGGCTGGAGTCTCTCTGAATGGTGCTCACGATTGTCACTTTAGCTTTGGCATTCCCTGATTTGTCACACCCAGCGGAGCTGCTCACTGCCTTGGGACTGGCATCTGCAGCCTCTGTTTTCAGCAAAGTGGGAGCAGAAGATACAGATGAAATGATCTGTGCAATGGAAGCCAATGGTGGCAGCTCTTTAGTTACCGAAGGCTTTGGCAAGAGAGGTGGTGGTGGTGGCTTAGGCCTCAGGGGTCTCAGCAAGGCAGCATTGCCAGGGAGAGCCGGGGAAATGATCGGGACAGTCAAATGCAATGAACCTTTTAGTGGCTGGGGATGTCTGACACCCCGGTTTGTTTCTGAGTTCCCACTGGCACCAAAAACCAAAGGACACTGCAGACAGTTATAGGCCATATCACTGTTCCCAGAAGCAGCCAGCTCTTGATTCCTGGCTTCACAGGGGACATCATCTTTATCCTTCTTCAGGATTTTGGGGATGGACAGGTCAATAGGCTCCATGGAACAGTCATAAAGGGACAGAGATGAACCGAACAGGTTCTCCTGCTTCACCTGCACAGCACTCAGGCTTTTGCTTTTCTGAGAGAAATCCAATGGCTCATCAAAATCCATGGGGTAGTTGCCCACAGGTTCACGTTTGATGGAAACGTGAGATGATGTTCCCAGCAAGAAGCCGTTCTGTGGTTCCAGGAAAGGCGTCATGGGCTTGTGGTCCATATAAGTGCTGTCATCCAATAGAGAAGGGTCTGTCTGGCTTTCCTGGGCACTGCAGTCCACCATTAAGATGTAATTCTCAATCTCCTTTTCCTGCACATGCAAGTGCTGCTTGAGAATGTGGTGAATGCAATTCCTCTTGGCCGTAAAGGCCGTGCCACACTCCTTGCACTCAAACGGCTTCTTCTTCTGGCAGCCGCTGTGCGTCCTCATGTGAATGCGGAGCGCCCGGTAGTGCTTCAGGTCCTCTCCACAGAGCTTGCACACCGTGTCTGGCGAGCAGAAGGCATCCACCATCTCTGCAGCATTGCTGGTGACATATTCAATGTTCTTCTCGATATCCTTCCTGGTGGTTTTGAGGTGCTTCTTTCGCAGGTGCCTCTCACAATTGGCTTTCACCGTGAAGGGGTAGTGGCAGATTTTACAGATGTAAGGTCGCTCCCCGCTGTGCGTCCGCAGGTGCCGGATCAGCGCCGCCTTGTCAGCTGCAATGTAGTCACAGATGTTGCACTGATACGGGGAAATACCTAAGTGAGAACGGATGTGAGCTCTCAGGACACCAGAGAAGGCAAACACCTGGTCACAGAAACGGCAGGGGTACAAAACTTTCCTCATAGTCGGGGTCTTCTTGTTTGCTGCCCCTGCGATGATGGCTTTGAGTTCTCCTTCTGTGACTTCTTGCTTGATCTTGGCTTCCATACTTAGAGGCAGGAGAGCTTCAATGATGCTGTCCTGCTCCAGCTGTGTCTTCATCTCGTGCTGAGTTAACGGCTCTACTTTGGGTTGGAGGAGCAGCTGTGAGGAAGGACTTGATTTGGCTCCTGGCTGGGGGAGATGAGAATTGGAGACAGATTCCACTGAGTTCTTGATCAGCCTCAGAGGGGGAGGTGGGAGGCTTGGGCTGATGCAGCCAGGGGAGGCTTGCTGGGCACTGATAAGAGGAGGAGGTGTAGAGGTTGCGACAACTGTTCGGGGCGTTACCAAAGGCTTTGGCTTCAGTGGTGGCATATGCTTGAAAATAGACTGCACGGGGACAGAAGGTGCCTTAGAAAGTGGAGGAAGACTGATTTGAGGAGGAGCAGAAGAAGCCATCTTCAAGATCTGCTGAATGTCTGCCAGCTCAATGGCAGACTCATTGGAGATGGGTTTCACCACAATACTGCTGTCAGGCTGGATAATAAAACCCTTCTGGAAAGGCTGCAGGGAGAGAAGCTTTATGTTTTCTTTTGTAGGGGGAAGGACTGAAAATGACCCTCCCATGGAGGCAGCTTCCAGAGGAGAGAGGCTGAGCAGACTGGTGCTGCCAGGTTCCTGAGGTAGGTTACTCTTCAGAGCTCTGAGCCGCATTTCTTGGACCTCGTCTTGTGTATTGTCCTCCTGCTTGACAGGCTTGATGTCTTTGGTGTACTGTAGGCCCAAGGATGCCATGAAGACTTTCTGGTCTGGGCTCTCACCGGGTGGGGTTGTGGACTGTGGCTTGTGCTTGTCTTTTCCCTGATCCACCACGTGAGTTTCTGTGTGCAGTTTGAGTGCTGAAAGCATGGGGAATGCCTTGTTACACATCTCGCAAATAAATCGATGGAAGTCACTGATGCACCTTCGCAAATTTGTTTCACACCAGACCTGCAAGACATGCAAAAATATTTAGAGTAGGAATCTCAATCTGGGAAGGCATCACAAGCTGCTGCAAAACACAAACAGTTCATTCTCTCTTCACTGATTAAGTTATGAGGTCTAGAGCAGCCCTCCCCTACCTGGCATGCAGATATTCCACTTCACAGCCTTCAGTCTTCTAAGGGGTGTAACTGAATTAGGAGCTGATTCTCCACAAGTTCCCTTCTACAAAAGTAAACTCCTTCAAAAGGCTATTCAGGCTCTCAAATTCTTTTCCATCCTAAATTTCCCTATTAGAAACTTCTCTTGTGTCATTGACAGGACAGGAGCCTCAGCGTACTACACAGCAAGGAAGCCAGGCAGTAGACTATCTCATTTAGTTCTACTACAAAGAAACCAGGAGCAAAGAAAAGAAAAAAAAAAGAAAAATAAAAAAAAAAGGCATCCAAGAAGCTAAACAATGTAAACCAACCAAAATAAAATCCCCCAAAAGCAAATCAATGAAACTCAGCGCTTAAAGCAGAGTGGTTTTTGGTTAGGGAAGTCTGATTACATTTATTCTCCCAAGAAAAATACTAGTAGAGGGCTGGCAAGATCTTTACAGACTTTAAATACTTTATAAATCTTCTCTCACAGTGCAAGCAAAATTATTACAAAAGGAAAATACCAACATTCAAATCCCTTAATAACTTTACATGTCTGTCATTAATTACAAAAGAAATAAACTTTGTTTAAAAGTTCTTTCTTTTGATATTTTAAGTTTTATACAAAAACTGTAACAGACTGACAGAAAGACTGACATGCTCCCCTAGCCCAGCAGCAAATTTCAAGTCTATCACTTTGCAGTCAGAAGAGTTGGAAATCAATGTTTTAACTCCAGAAGAGTACGAAAAGTGCAGAAACTAAGCATGGTCCAGGTGGATTTGCTGTTGATTTTCTAATAGATAATGCAGCTTCATCCAGACCCAAACTAGGACAGGCAATATTTGACAGCGGGAGGAATCACATCACCCAACAGAAATGTTTATGGCTCTCAGAAAAATATTTACAGACTACCTCCCTGACTTTCCCCATCCACTGTCCCTCAAACCTTACATGAGGAACATTGTGGAGTGTTTTGTCAGGAAATCACTGAAGATGTCACTGTTTAGTTAGTAAGGTGACTGCTCAAAGTTTTTTGTGTTAAAATCTTTCATACCCCAACTACATCCTTGTTAGAGTAAACTAAAATAAATAATGTCTTCCTTACCATGTGTACTCTCTGTTGATTTCAGATGTAGGATTTTTTGGTGTGCTCAAAGGGGCAAGCAACTAATATGATCAAAGTTTTCCTTGAAAATTTTTTATACATCTTTACATTGGTAGCTATCCGCTGTAATGGTGAAAAAGCCATTACAGTGGATAACTGTAATGTTATTGGCACATTACCCAGTGCCAATATTCTTTAGATGAAAAAAGAAAAGGGAGAGGCATAAAGTGTTTAAAGCCTACACGAACAGTGGTGAAGTACCTTCCACAAAATATTCTACGTGCAGGATGAGCCTTTCAACGACCTCATCAGATAAGCACTGTAGCAGCTGGCGCCTAAAGCAACCAAGAACAGACAGTACCTGAGAAATGCGGGGGAACTTCCTACAGGAGAAGTCCGTGAATCCCAAGTCGTGGAAGCCTGCTGGAATTGAAGGATTGTTCTGAATGAAGGGCTTTCCCATGGGATCTCTGGGAAGCTGCTTGTGGATAACTGCATTGTGGCGCAGTAGGCCCCGATGAGTACGAAAGGTGATACAACAGATGTCACACCTGGAAAGGAGAGGAATGAAACAGAAATTTCTTACTGACTGTTGCAAGCTCAAGAACTAGCATTCTTCTTGCACCGGGACATCCTCTTTCCTCTCACCCCATGATACCAAGAACTTGTTAAATGCAAAATAAAGCCACAGTGTATCACCACAAAAGGCCATTTTGGTCACAGTCACTTTCTACCAGTTTCTGGCTAGTGAGTCCACTGGAAGTTTAAAGAATGTGAAAACTGACAATCTCACATGGGCAGACAGGAGAATGGCGGCTGAGATAACAGCATTCTGAAAACCTTTTCATTGTCCAATGAAAAATATTTCAGTGGCCTTACACCATTTTATTTTTACCGAAAAGTCCTGTTAAAATAAACAACATTTAAAAAAAATCAGTGACAAGGAGAGGCTAAATCTGACCTAAATAGAAAGCAAATGTAAAAGCAGCACCTTTCATATCCACTACTTAAAACTTACTGCTGCATCCACTCTAATATCTGTGTGTCAATCTTCATCACATTGCTTTTCCATAAACTTTCACTGGTATTTTTTAAAGCTGTTATGAGAAATAGACTGTTTGTAAAGGAAAACTAGTGCTCCTTGAATGGGAGAAAGGTTCAGAGAAGGAAGACCTGAAACAAGTTCAACACTTCTGACACTTTTAGACCCCCATCACAGCCAGTTTGCCCTGAAGAAAAATGCAGAAGCACTGTTTTTTCCTACCCACATTATTGCTGTGATTTCTTGTTTTTCTTAAGTTCTCAAATCCCAAATTCAGCTAAACAAGGGCTTCTCACATAAAACACTGCATTAAACAATCAAAGCTATGCTGCAGGCAGGAAGGGCTATGCAGTACATTTGGTCAACACGTCAACAAGGCCTATTGCCTTTTAAATATTTGGTATGTGAGCTCTGCAGCATGACAGGTCATGTCCAGTCTGCATTCAATAAGTGACACACAGTTTCACTCAACCTCAAGTTCCTTGTGGTTATAGGTCCAGCTCCCAGCCAAAACGTGGGTTTCCCAGAAGCAAAACACCAGTGGGTATGAGGCAGTCAGATTTTGTCACTGAGAATGTTATATGCACCAGGAGTTTTTCACATCTGCCTGTGGCCTTGGTTTTCCCCATACCGCCTTTGCTCTCTACATCAAGGAAAAGGACATGTGTCTAGTCATTAAAAAAACATCCTGCAATTAGAAATGACTTCTGACAAAATCTTGAAACCACCCCCTCCCTGCTCTATCCCTAACAAACTCCCATTGTTGTGCATTTTATCACTACATAAACTCCCACAGCCATTTTTTTATTCTCTGAAAACTAAAAGATAACCAAGTCACCCACAAAGCAACTGGCCTCATAGTCCCTGAGTGGTGAAAGAAGCAAGTGTGAAGTGTATATAACACGGCCATTGTTATCACAGTACCCAGAAAGCTTGGACATAAATATGCACTGAAGGTTTAATCTGTTTTAACTCTCCTGTCAATTCACTTGCATCCTACCTGTATAATTACTGCTGACATAGTTCCTGCATTCCATTAAATACCAAACCAATGCCATTTACAAAGCTAATGTTTACTAAAAGAGGCATGCCAAGTGTGACAACAATCTCAGGGGGGCGGGGTGGGATGGCCAACACATAGTGCTTCTTCAGCATCAGGATCTACGGCTCTCCTCCAGCTCACTTGGCAGCACCTATTCTGTGATGCAAAGCTTTCATCTTCAGTGAAGGCAAAAACACAACCACCAAAACCACTGGGGGCCAAAGAGCATTAAAAAATTATGAGTAGTCACCTAAAGAACTTGCAGGCTACTGAAATTAATTGCTTTTAGAGGTGATGAAAATACCTTGCATGAAAACAAGCAGTGCTTCTGACATGTTCCTCCTGGTACGTCAATATACAAACAAGGAGGGTTTGGAAACAATTCTCCTGCACCGCTGGCAGCATTGCAGGGACACAGACCCTGACCTCAGGGCATCCTGAAGCATCTCTGGGGTCCCAATGTGCCTGGCCTGTCCTGGGCACAGGGAGCCAGTGCAGCAGCTGTATCCCCTTGCGTGTGACAGGGCAGGCACAGCCACCAGTGATGGCTCCACAGAGCTACTGGGAGCACTGACACCTGCCACTGCACCCCCAGGATCTGGGCTGAGCAGGAGCCAATGCTCCCTGCCAAGCAGCCACACATCCCACTCAGCAGGGAGGTGTGCCTTGTTCATCCTGCACTCCTCCTCGCCTCCCTCTTGCAACACGCTGATTTTCAGCGCTACTTTATTTGGGTCTCCCATCAAAAGCTGTACTTGAGAGTTAATCTTTCAGAGCAAATACCCATGTGAAAGTCCTTCACAGTACACCTGTATCAACTGCCAGCCTCAAGACAGTAAAAATTTGCAAGTTAAAAATGGTGTTTTCCATGCAAAGGGCACCACCTTTTGTCCCCTGAACAAAAGTAATGTATCTTATAAAAGGAATATAAGCTTTCTCTTTTATTAAGCATATTTATTTTTCTCTTTCTTCCTTATCTTTTATTTTCCCTGCTGTGAGTGAAGAAGCAGCAAACAAAAAGGAGAATGTCGGACGAAGACTAAGCTCTTTTTTCATTAGGTCAGAAAGAAGCACCTGGCTGAAAAAAAGAAACATCCTGATAAATCCTGCCTGTCACCTCAAGCTGCAGGCTCTTCAGGGCATAAAAATGCACTGCACCTTGCCCTGGTGGCACAGCTTACAGAACAACATGGGAAGGAGCTGTGGATGCCCTGCCTTCCCCTGTGATCCAGGTATGGACTCCTAGCACCTCCAAGAAAAACTTATAGCTACTAAGTGTCAAAACCTAACAAAGGCAAGCATCACTGCACTGACTAAGTCTTGTGTTAATTTAAAATTGAGTAAGCTGCCATGCCTAACAGTGCATTAACTGGAAGTATTAGTTTTTTTTAAGGGAGTCTAACTATTAATTTCTCTGTTTTGTCATCAGTACTATTTTCTATCTTTCAGTAGTGTCACTGCCTATAGTACTTTTAAACCTAGACCCACAGTTTAAGAAGGAAAAGAGTAAGGAATCCTAGGTGATATGACCATTTTTTCATCTTGTTTAAACTGCTTTAAAAAAAAAAAAAAAAAAGTAATTGTGGAAAGTCTGAAAAGTCCAGCATATCAAATAAAGCATCTGAAACATATGGTAATAGTTTGCTCAAGATGAATGTTCAAAAAAACCCAACAAAACAAACAAACCCAACAACAACAACAACAAAAAAAAACCCCAAACATATAAAAAACCCCCAAAAAACTAAAAAAAAAAAAAAAAAACCAACAGAGAGGCCTCCCTCTCCTTAACATTTCTCATGTCTGCTCATGTGCAGTTAGTTCCAAGTCAAACATGGATGACATGGCTGCAGAGAACAGTGATGGGAACAGGTTCTGAGGTTGTCAGCACCACAGGCCAAGCAGTGGCTCAACACCTGTGCAAAAATAAAAGCACTCTATCTGCAAGGTAAGTTTCCAGATGTATCTAATAAAAGCTGCTGTGTTATCATGTGATTGCTAATCCTGGCCCCAGTCTTCAATTTTTCTATAAATATGATTACAGAGTAAGGAGAAAAAAGCTGTTCAGTTCTAAGTATAGAGATTAAATTTTAAGTAGAAAGGAAAAAACCATTTTTAGCAGCTAAGGCCCCTTTAAAATTACTGTAATTCTCAACTGCCTTTATGTTTTGGACTTGCTCATATCTGTAACAATACAAATATAATACTAAGGCTCTGGCTTACTGGCAGAGGTATAAAAAACGAGCAGGTAAGGAAACAGAACACCTCAAACACAAAAGCAGAACCAAAATGTAACAATGCAACAACCAGGCTGTCCTTGGTGTTTGGGTCATGTATCACACCAGGCAGGTCTGATTAATTATTACTACACCAGTGCACCTTTTCTTTCTTTTTAAAATTTTCTTAATGCAGACAAGTGTATGCATCTTTGTGTAAAAACACACCATTAAAAAGCTTTCTTCTAAAATAAGTTAGTATTCTTGAAATGTGTAATGCTAATTAGGATATAAAATAATTTTAACAGGCTTTAAGAAATAGTCGGTGCTTTGCAAAACTTGTTTGTTCAAGGAGGCAAGGCGGGATTTGCTGCTCTTCATAAGTGGCACCTCTGCAAGGAAAGTTTACATAAGCAGTGCCTGTTACCTTGCATTACACTCTCCTCTGAGACAACTCCAATTTGTCTGCAGAGGAAATAGCTGTCCTTCTTTAAGAAATGGAAAGACATTTTAGAAAGGAAATGCAGAGCCAAATTTTTAGCAAAATTAATCAGTCTTGATTTTGATTAAGAGTAAGGCAGACAACCACTAAATCCTTCTAGATTTTATATTTCAGTAGTCAAGACGAAAATGCCAAATATTTGTATTTACCGTTATGTTACCAAGAAATTAAACAAAACACTATGCTCTGCATTACCCGAGACTGCTGGTGAGCAAGTGACATTTACCATTGTTCTGCTTGTACTTCTGAAACCACACAGACTAAAACCTGAAGTTTTCACCCATGCAACTCACTAATACAAAGTTGCCCATATTGTGTATGTTAACAAATAAAAACAGTCTTAAATTCCTAGGCCTTATCAAAAATAAAAAAGCTTGGTACCACTTTGTTCCTTTCCTGTCCGTGCTCTTTAGCAACTTCCACAAACAGAAGCAAGGAAAACAAACAAAAAGAATTAAACATATCCTGAGACAGAAGTCATTAATACACAATTAAGTTACGAAGTTGTCTAACTCCTCCCACTGAAATTCCCAGTCAGTACCGTGTATTTTTCTATCTCTGTTGTTATTATTCTCCTTTCTCTCTTGAAGTTATTTGCAGAATTAATGTGGCTCTCATGAGCAAAGAAATTGCTATGCTGACCTAAAAATAACACAACTGGGTAGCAGAGAAAGATGGGTGATTCCCTGCTGATGACTCATGTCCACACCGGCGGTGGGAGCAGGCTCCCAGCCTCCACACTGGCAATGTCC